TACAAAACATTACAAACAAGTTTAGTACAGGGGATGATCATTCCAACAACGGTGCCAACGCACCCCATTTTAAAACGTACTTTGTTTCGTTCAAGACATTTTTTTCAATAGATTTCTTTTCTTTGACAATCTTTATAAAATAATCAAGAGAAGGCGTTACATTTGTAAAGCGACATATATATAAAACATATTTACCTATTAAAATAAGATGGTTTAATAGTATACATTTTTGGGGAAATCCAAAGAGAATACGTTCACAACTTAAAACTACTAGTATATTATCACTTCCTGGTATAGCCTCCCCCCACCAATAGTTTTGAAATAATTTCCAAAACGAAATTGTGGTTGTACATTCCCAGAAGAGATGTTCAATTGTTTCTTTTTGTTTACAATATTTACAACAATTGTCCAAACGGATTTTATTTTGGAAAAGATAATTGTTGGTTGCCAAAATTCGATACAATTTTTTGAACTGAAAAATGCGCAGTTTTTCTTCCATTTTGGTACGCTAATTTCCAGATACATCCCCAATCAATTGCATCACTCACTTATACAGTTGCTTCATATTTAGACATGGATGTTCGCGTTTCAAAACGTTTCTCATCTAATAACTTATTCTTGTTTTACCACCAAAAACTGTATCATTTATTTTTTTAGTTAAATTCGCATTGATATTTCCAGCAACTAATTTGGACTTCCAATAAACTGGAATTGCGTGCAGAATACCATTAAAAGTTACAAAATCTGTCTTAATTGTGTATTTCTCTATAAATTGTTCATATGACATAAAATTACCATCTGTATTTAATAAATGTTGTATGCACTTTACCCCATTATATAGCCAGTGTAAATAACACACTGGTTTTCCACCAATAAAAATGTATCTATTATTCCACAGTATTTCTGATTTGACCTCATTTGAATTACTGGGTGGCCCATGACAGAATAGTTCATAGTTCATACCAAAAACTAAAAATGTCAGAATAAAAAGCTGGTAAAGAAAAAAGCATTTTTTTAGGATCATAATTACAGCTCAATAAAAATTTCAAGCCCCCATATCTACTAAAATAGCTCCTTGGAATAACTCCCCATGATGCATTTGTTTCCATTATCCTTATAGCCCAAGCTAATTTGAATGCTTTGTTTAACAACTCCAAATCAGTCATGCGCAAACCACCATATTCAATATCCCCAATTAAAGTGTTGTTTTTTATATGGTGTATTTTCCCGTTCCACAGAAAATCAAATAACCTAGCCCGGGCTTCGCACACATATTTTGGCGGAATAGAAATGGAGTTCATTACAAAGAGCAGATTAGTAGCCCCCAAAACCTTTGCAAGTGTAACTCTGTCACCAATAGTCAAGTCACGTGACTTCCATATGCCAAGTTATCTTTATTCATTTTTTCAATTTTTTTGGTGGAAGTTAAGCTCTAAATTTTTCTTAACATCGTGACTTATATAAATTCCCAAGTAACGGATTGGTTTTTGGGTTGGGGCTATCACATCCATCTTTTGCCAATTATGTTTAAGTTTACCCAACACAAGTAGTTCTGTTTTACCCATATTAATTTCTAGACCAGAAAAATCATGAAACTGTTTTAGAATGGATAGAGCAGTACGAACAGAATTTTGGTTTCTCATGCAAAGGGTTGTGTCATCCACAAAGCTAGATATTATTTGTTCATGCTCATATGACAACATAATACCATCTATTTGGTCACTTGATCGAATGACAACTCAATGGCAATGCAACTTTAATTCAATTTTAATAACGAAATTTAATTTTAGGGGGTTGCAGTTTTATACGAATTTTTTATTTTTTACAGTACTGTATCCTAACAACAATTCCTATTTTGTAAAACAGAATAGAAACTGAATATTCAAACATTGGATCAAACATTTTCTATCATTGTGTCACGGCCCTCAAACATAATGATGTCATGATTATCCACCACGATGTCATAATCAGCAATGTTGATGTTCAATCAATCTTCTCCACAAACAAACTATGCCAGAACCCGAAACACGCGAGCCTCGGATACTAACAGACACCTGTTGTTCCACGGCGACAACCATGAAAAAATACACTACACGGCAATTAATATTAAACATTGCGCGAACTGAGAGAAAAAAAAAACCGTATATTTGGGGATGAGATGGGGCGGCGGGTAACATACATCGCCATAGCAACGAACAATCTGAATTCTTACTGTTGATTTCAATTATATTTGCCTTAAACGATGATTTGATGAGAAAACCACAGATTTAACAAAATCGTGTCAAATGGACAAGTAGTTTCGGTGCTCGTCAGTTATAAGCACGCTCGTCTACTCACGTGTTCTATTCATCGCCGCTCTAACAGAAGTCGCTCTCGAATAATGATAACGAAATGATCAAATTGGCCTCCATTATTGTAAACCATGAGCATATTTCACGGGTATGAATCGTTTCAAGTGAACTCGTCCACCAGTGAGTCTGAACAAAAATGTCATAAGTGATAACAATAGCAGGGCGCAACAACACACATTTTGAGCCCGCTATGCATAGCGTGATTTTTTGGCAATAACAAAATAAGATAAAATATTATTAGATTAAATAAAAGTTTAGTTAATTGTTTGTTGAGTATTGACGCTTAGATTAAAAGTATAAAAAGTGTGATTCTATCATAGTGGTATTTAGGGAATGAATAAAGATAAATCTTGCGTTATTTTTTTTTATGTAACAGCGTAATGGTCGTCGAACTGCGTCGCGTTCAAAATGGATACCATTTAACGTAATCTCCGGGACGAAACTGAACATGATATGTAGCAGATAATATTTGTTAATCGTGTCTTAAGTAACTGTTCAAAATAGGTAGATGTTTCGAGTAACGGCTCTTTATCGATAGCTTACGAGAAAATGTTGCTCGGGCGGGCAACGCTGTATCATGTATTTCTATGGGCCCGGTGTGGTTTGCTTCGAAAGAGACGGTGACTATAGCTACAGTAAAAAAAAACGGCACAAGCTCAACTTTGAGATAATCCTGAGCAACTAAATTGATATATGTAAAATACTTTATTTTCGCTTGGAATTAATTTTCGCTGAAGGAATGATTCAGTGACAATAAAATCCAGCGAATATACCTTTCTTCCTATATTTTACATTCAACTCATCAAAAATCAGTGAAAATAAATTCAATACAAAACACCCAAAAGACTTTTCAGCGAAAATTAATTCCAGCTAAAATATTTTTTTTTTTTACAGTATTGCACATGTAGGGGCAATTACGCTGCTCGGAAGAGTCTTAACAAATCTAACAACTTGAAGTTGATGTTTGCAGGCGGTGCAAATGCCCGGATGTTTACCACAAGAATACGTGATAATCCAAACGCGAGCTGTACCACAACTTTTGCGGCAGTCGTCGTGCCGCGTCCAGTTCAATATGGGACTCGTAGCGACGTAAACAACACGTGCAAAATATATTGTTTATTTACATGAAATTCGAACACGCGCTGCGCGACGACCACCACGCTTTAAGATTACACGTGTCTTTACGTTGTTTACGCTTCTCCTTCTTTACATCTAATATGTATTTAAAATCAAGGATCAAATATCTCAAATGAAACGCATATCCGGTGAACAGCAGGACGTATGAGTTGCATTTTCCAAGAAGTTAAATTCAATTTATCGTTATTAAAATTGCAGAGGAAGCATTAGGCAGTGCACCATAAGGCGCGACATTAACCCTATGCACGCGCGGTCTCCACTATCGTTTTATTTTTTATCGAAAACAAGTGAAAAACACGTGCAGTGGGAACTGCAACCAGTCTGAAGTTTAGAAAAGCTTCTTGGTAAAAATGAAAACGAATGATAACTGTCTGATGCCCGGAATCATTTTTCACACAAAAAAGTAACTAAATAGCACGTGACTCACATCGCAATCGAAAAGATTAGTCCAATATTAAACTTTATCAAATAAAAAAGACCAGAGTTAGTATGAAAAGGATTATGCTGTTCTAGGTGAGTGTTCCGCCAGATGTTTATGATGAAAGGAAATGTTTTGTACGATGATATTACGACGGAGCGTAGATTAAAGGAAGCTTTCTCGATGTTTTACAAACTCAACAAAAATGACGTGGAACAAATCAGTGGCCCGTCTTGTTCGACTGCAACTCCATTGAATTCGCGCTCTCTAGTGCTTTGTCATTTGCGGTAGACTCGTCTCTTCGACACATTGGAACTGGTTCATCGACATATTGATATCGTAAGCAATATGGTCATTTTATCACAGCGAAACGCGTTTAAATAAAGATGTCTATTAAATTGTTATAATGATACGCTTTTATGGCAAAATAGGAATTCAAATTCGCCTATTTGAGCGATGAAATAAAACGCGACATCGCGGACGTTGGGTGAAAGACTCACCATATTGAAAAACATATTTCCCGACATGCTTAGCGGCCTTGTTGCTATGCTAGAAGCAAATATATGTTATAGAAATCAGCACCTTCATAGAAGTGAAAAATGATTGACATTTTCAACATCAAATACCGACCAATTAAATGACACACAATCGGTAAATATTTTACCATAGAGACCGAGCGAATTGGAAAATTATTTTCTCGGCGCGTTCAGTTGGGCGTTAATTTGTATACGTAATAGTGGATGTATGCTATTAGATGAGCGACCCTTATAAACGACACGAACAAGAGAATTCTTCCCCATTCAGAGCAGCGGGATTGCAACCTCTCATCTGATAACGCCTCACTAAAGCTCTAATTTCCCGCAAAAAGGAGACAACGACAGATAACCGCAAACAATTAACCCGAAGAAAAGAGCGTATTACCACAGAGGAGCACCGTGAGTACATTGAATAACTTTCCTATACACTGGAAGCAACAAGTCTTCGAGTTTGTGAACGGTTTCAGTTTTTGTTTGCATACGTCCGTCATCGTTATGGAATCTTCGAATTTGAAAAGCATGCACTATCGCCAATTAGTTTTCCATCCGTATCTTAGTATGGCATACCCAGTGCGGTTGCATCCAGTGCCGATGCCAGCAACAACGATCGTCAACAGAACCGCGAATTTGAAGCAAGTGAAGTTACCGTTCACCATAGAAGCAATCCTCGGACGCACTGGCGGAGGCGGCGGGGCAGGCAGCAGGCAGAGCATACCGTGGCATCCAGTCAAACGAAGAGATCTCCACCCACAGGCGACTGGCAATTTACCCGTTCCTTCACACCATCCCATCCAGGGACACCACAGGGTCAAACATTTTAAAAACAACAACCAGGAATTGACGAAGATGTATTTTCGGCAGAATCTGGTTTCACCATACACAAGAGAAGACCATTACGGTGTGAACAGAGGAACAGAGACTGGTATGTATCCATGGTTACCAACTACTCGTATAAGCGTTCCTTGTAAAACGGGAACACATGGTGTTTTTTAGAGGGATACCTAAAATAAACCTTTTCGTAAATGATAGTAGTTTTACTACTTTTTTGCAAAGCAAGTGCTATAAAATTTCCTCATAACTTAAACTTCTATTTTAACATAACAGTAACATAAAATTAATATAACTATTAATGATGTCACTGAGTTGCTATTTTGCGGTTACTGTAGTTTGCACAATTTCCTTGCGATGTGTCGGAAATACACAAGCGAGTCGTAAATCCCTTCAGCAGTATAAATTAGAGAAAGATTATGTGTGTCTGTGTGTTCTTTCTCTCGTCAGCTCGTTGTAAATCAACTGCATGGGCTTTCCGAGTGTAAGTGTATATATACTTACATATATATATTATTATTGTATATATATTACCATCGCTTTTCAAATTATTCGATTCTTTTTTGATGTTTTTAGTGTATCGTAATCTAGTTGATTATAATTTTAAAATTTCGAAACATGTCATTGTACTTTCAATTTTATTTTTTTTTAAATATTGTTGAAAAATAAAATCGTAGATATTAACATAGTTCTTTTATGTATTTTGTTTGTGGGATTATAGCATTGTAATACAACGTCACATTGGACTTCGAAAGACCAGTGCATACAATGTATATGCAATCGTAACGAAACACTAAATATAATAAATGAATATATCCACGTCAATTACAGACAAATGTAGGTGTTTTAAAATATGCATGTTTTTTTATCTTATCGATTGAATTTTCGTCGTTATATATAATTACATATATTTACTTTTAACTGGTACAGTTTTTATTAGTAAATAAATAAATATGCCGTACCGAAAATTCCATTCACCATAACGAACAGTCTTGGTGGAATAGAGCCGATCTGGATAGGAGATCTGCTGAACCGAGTCAGATATAGATACATAAATAAATAATTAGACTTTGTTTAATCACTATCATTATCCATTGCAAGTCCACCGCAAGCCACAATGACATTGTGTCCACCGCACAAAAAAAAACTTCGCTTGTCGTTTGAGATAAGGTAGATAATGTAGAAAATATGATCACCCACTTTGTAAATATTTTGGATTACCATTAAATTTTGTCTACGGTCTCGAATTATTCTAAGTATTAGTATGTTATAAATATTCCAGTTCCTGGAATAATCAGAACATAGAAATCAATGACGATGCAACTCATTTCGCAATTTTAATTCCACCAAAATACGACGTACTATTCTACTTAATCTGCCACTTTGTAAACGAACATTTACTTTTCACCAATTTTATTTGACTGGAGTGCTCGACTAAGCGCCGTGTTCCTGAAGGCACGATTTTGTGAGTAATCTGGCCCTAAGTCGGACGAGTACAGTATTAAACCTGTGTCAAAATGACATTCTCTATAGCGATATGCCGAGATCAGAACGAATTGCGATGTGTCGAGATTGGATCTACGGAATGCTAAAAAGTTATAATTCGAGAAGGAGCGCGTTACGATAATCTAACTAAAATAAAGCGTATAGATGAACGACTATATGAAGTTTAGACTTGGGCACATTTGGAATCTAAAGCAAGTAACTATCGTTTTTTTTTTTTTTTTTTTTTTTTTAGTTTCAAACAGGTTCTATGATATTACCAACGCATAAGCATATACAAAGCACGTTATTATAGTGGCAGCAGGTGACACGGGTACACTGAATATCACTGTTGAATTTCTTGTTTGCGAGTTTGTAAGCGCGAACTGTACTGAACCCGTGTCTATGTTTGGCATTGCGTGTTGGGTTTGTGTGACCAACTTGCCATCGATTGAACACAAGCGTCCGTGCGGACCATAACAATGGTCCCCGAAAGCAATACACCAGCCAGCTAAATGAATTTCGACCAGTTGCTTCACCTTGATAACACACTCACCGAGAAGAGATTTTAACTCGGGACTTACCAACTGCGTGATCGCCGGGCGCGGTCACGTTGGTTTTATGCCGTGAATTTCCTTGTTATATCCGCCCTCATTAGCTAGTCAAAATGACAACAATACACATATAACACAGAATACAAGAGATAGCAAAACACATCAAATACGGACTGGCATTCAATCGAAAATTCTTATTTTCACGAACACTTACTAGTAGGAATATTGATATTTCAAGACTTATAGCTGAGAACACATAGCGTGATTCGTTGACAGTAGTGTACTCCGCTACTCATGGTTCGTATTACTGAACAATTGAACAACTCATTATATAAATACTGCCCATCAATGAATATTTCTTTGCATTTAATATGTTTAAGACTGTTTTATCTACTAGTAATTAAAATCTTCTTACTGAGTATATATGTTGATTAGCTCATGAGTTTTTTATCGTATACATGTGTAAATAAATATAAATAAACAAGCTAAACTCGAATAAATAAATTAATAAATATGTTAAATTCCGAGTCAAATTAAGAATCTGTTGATATTAAACAAATATTCACAGTTCACAATTATTATAAAAGTTGTAACTTACTATTTGCCTATGTAAGAAATGGGATATTAAATTGCTCGTACAATATTTATAGCTTGACAGTTTTCAAATTGAATTCATATTTTTTGCACTAAAAATGTTCCCAGAAATATAAATTTTGATTTCTTAGTTATTACCACTTCAAAGTTTGCCATCGTCACTAATCACCGAATAGTTTTACTTTTTACTATTGTTAACTCTTGATGTGTTGATAATTAATTCAAATGCTAATTTTCTGCTGTGTTTAAAATTGAAATAATTAAAACAGTTTCAAACTTAATATTTTACGATTGTTTCAAAGATCAGCAATGATGCGAACGAGGATACATGCTTCACATAAACCACTGAGCCAATGAATACTCCGCGTACTTCAGGCACATGGACAAACTCTGATGTAATCTCATCATTGAGTAAGCTTTTTTTCCAATTTTCTAATCTTCTCACCGACAACTTGCGCCCTCTATAGACGAAGAAAACGCTTGTCATAACTTCACAGCGAAGCAATTTTAACGTGAACTAAATATTTACTTTTTAAAACAAAAACAAAACAAAACCACTAAAACGGCTTAACATCTGTGAATGTCAATATCATGTTGATATCATTGTCCATATAGGTATACATATATGGACATAGCCTGGGAACCTGTAGAAGAATAACGAATTAAAATAAGAAACTTCCCACGTGTATGATATGCCTCGGGTATCACGCGTAATTGTATAATAGGCAAACTGTTGAATCTGGACGAAAGCAATACGCTATAGCAAATATCACTTCCCTGGTTGTCGTGCCGATGGTAACATGTCAGCATATTGATTAATTAAAATTGAGTAAACTTTGGAAATGGATGAAGCTGTCAAAAACGATGAGTGAACCACGTGATAAATTGAAAGCCCTCTCGAACCACCAGCCGGTTTCTCTTTCAGTTGGAAACTGGCACTTCCCATCGACAACGATCTGGACAAATAAAATGACTGGGTAAAAACGGGAGTGTACGTGATTGCAACCACTTTATTAGTAGATGGTGCCATTAGATGATTCTTATTACGTCATCGGACATTACTACTTTCCCTCCATGTACCAGAGGTGACCGAGGATATCATGACGTTCCACGATATAAATACGCAAACATTTTCACTGCGTACTAGAAACACTGCGTACTAGAAACATATTTTTGACGGAGTGAACGAGGCGCTGATCTACTGAATATTAATTTATGTTTTTAAAAACAATCGAGTGTAAATTGAGTTAGTTGGGCTGGGTTGTTGGGAAATCACTGTTTATCAACGCGCGTCGACTACCGCCTTTCAAAAAAATAAACGTCTTCGTATATATCGGATCTCTCTTTAACCTAACCATAGAAACCATGAATTTGTTAATGATGGAAAAAAACATACACACGTTTTATACACAAATATTATTTTTAAAGAGCTAACTTTATAAGTGTATAAAATCGAAATTATAATTTAAAGTTTTAAATGAAAAGAAAACAAAACCAGTCGCTGCAATATCATCCCCGTGATGCGAATAGCGCGGAATTTGTCAGTAAGACGGCTGTTGTCGTAGCGGATATTGCTTAGTTAAAATTCATAGTATGCGAGTCGATGACAGTAAATAAGTATACGGTTATGCTATGTGTGGTTTTGATGGACACGAGAAATGTAAATGTAAATAGATTTACAATTCAGCTTGTCTGTTTTATCATTTTCACTGTCTGTGCCACGCGATCACCAACAAGGCCTAACACCTGTATGAATCCCCACTTTATCGTATTACTCAACAAACTCGTGTGCTCCTCGAAAAAAAAAACACTACCAATATCGTTAACGAGAAAATTTATTACGCGCCAATTATATTTAATCGATTCTCATAATAACAAATAAGTATTCCCAATAATGAATATCGAGCTGTGTGCAAAGCGTGATATTAAATGGTTACAGATTGTATTGAAATGATCAGAAGTTCTACGATGGCTATTCAGTTACCGCAATCCCATGCATGAGAGCGCGGTCAACAATTTCCATGTGTTTTCATGTTAACAAAGCAGATTCATTAGGAACGGCGAAATTATGTGTTTTCGTGTGTATATTTACTTAATGTTGATGGATGTATTTTCAAGTACGTTTATTACGATACGTTGTCCGGTGTCGTTGAGTGTAAAATTGACATCAAAATAACGTAATTACGTATTTGTTGCGTCGCCGCGAAATACTGTGTCGGGTTTCTTGTTTTTGAATGTGTCAAATATCCTGTTTTAGTTTTAGTTTTTGTAAGTATCGGATTTAGGGTCCACAATCAACATAACCAGAGAGAGAATGCTTGCTGAATGAAAAAGAAGGCTCGTGTTTCAAAAAATGTTTGTGAACCTCCATAATTTGGGGTTTATATCATATATTCAACATGCCGTATCAAACAACATTAATAAAACTGCATATTTTTGTAATTTCTTAATAAATGTTAAATAAATAAACTATAAAGTCAATAAATAGATAAATAAATAAATAATTAAATAAATAAATAAATAAATAAATAAATAAATTAATTAATTAATTAATTAATTAATTAATTAATTAATTAGGAAATAAATCGGCGTAGTATACCCGAGACGATCGCCTTATTCACTAACGTACATTTTTTCTTTTATGTTTTAGACATAATTTATATAAAAGTATTCAATTTTTCGATATTTTCGTATATGACTCACATGCCAGATTTGGTCCCGAAATTATGCCGTTGCATGCTGCACGTCATATGTAAGATATTGTCAAGCAAATTATCGGAGGAACTGAACGAACTGGCGACAACGTTCGATCAAAGAGATCATCATTTCCAGAAATTACCTTATCAAGCATTTCATAATATTTTTTCACGGCATTTCACATAAAGCACAACAAACTAATATATTTTAATTCTTGTTTCAGAAAATGTACATGGGAACGAGGACGGAAAGGACACGTGGCCAATATCCAAACCAAAGCGAGTTAGAACAATTTTCACCCAGGAGCAACTGGAGAAACTTGAAGAAGAATTTGCCAAACAACAGTACATGGTGGGCACCGAAAGATACTATCTCGCTTCTGAACTCAACCTTACCCAGGCTCAGGTCAAAGTTTGGTTTCAAAACCGTCGTATTAAGTGGAGAAAACAAAACCTCGAAGCTCAACAAGCGAAACTCGCCGAGTTGAGAGCGGCTGAACCCGACGAACAATCGGACGCGTCCGACGACGACGAAGATATGGTGTCCATTCAAACATTTATAGCCGACCAGAACGACTACACGGATTCGAATCGAGCTCCGAATCAATTCGGGATTGGGCATATTTAAAACGTCAACGTTGAAGATAACTGGGTTAATCTGTTTATATTTTTACAATATTATTATTTTTAACAATGCTGAATATCATATTTTACGATAAATACGAGATGACAGTATTCGGCAACTGATTATAAGTCATTTTCCTAAATTAGTTGCATGATAAAATTGTCGTGTGTAATTGTCAAATATTTGAACGCTCGTTCTTATTTTGTGAAAAATATTTTCTGATCGAATGTTTTATTTTCAATTTGATATAGAAAACGCATTGCTTGATAAATTTCAGGTTGTTCCAAGCTAACGAATTGTCTTTTAAAATCCCGATTTGAGTTGAACTGACGTACCCACTCAGAAGTAATATGACAACTTGAATAATCTCTTCGATTTTCCGGATAAGAGTATAACATTTTCTAAGAAGTACTAAGAACTAAAATTACATAAAATAACAATTGTCTTACGTGGACTACTTAAACTACAGACGTATGATCCTGTTCAACTTCCCTGGCCGTGATGTTGTTATGAAGATACGGTGCAAACATTTCACTCCACAACTTTTAAATACTAGTACACACAGATTTGTTAATTTTGCCTCTGGACTATCTCGAGAATATAATAATACAACTATGCGAGGAAATCCAACTATTAGAAAAGCGTGGTAAAATGAAGCACACTCACTGTCCGAAAACTAAACTGCCTGTCCAAAAATAGCCTGACATGTACGCGTGAGTGGCGCCCTCGCCGACCGAACGGCATCAGACCCCTCTAATTGTGTGTTTGGTTTGGAGCACCGCGGAGGGCGCAACTCACGCGACCTTGCGAAGCTTTCAATGCAATGCAGCGAATATATCAAATTGAAAGACGAGTCACTTACAAACCTGACAGGTTTCAGGTTATTTGGACGGTATTGAATAATATATCATTTATATCTGATTTGTACTTAAAGGCCGGTGGCCTATGTACTTAAATAAACTTTATTTATTATTATTATTAGTACAAATTAGCATTTTCGAAAACTGGCATTGTCAGAGTACTCGTTGACTCAGTATCATGGTCACGCCTTCATGTCAGTGTCCGATCCAGGGTGGAACCGATAAATATTCAGTTTATTTGTGTCTGTCTTTTGTACTACTAAATACATTTGTAACTTAGCTTCATGCCAAAATAAAGTCGCTAATGACAATATTCGTCTGCCGATTGTACGTGTCAGTTTCTATACAGTGGGTTATATTACCAGCGATAAAAAGATGAACCAATTATTTCCTTTCCTAGACGTTGCGCCCTCTGGCGACAAAGCGTCGCTGTGGCGTAAATGAGTGCGCTGAACCACAGTCCCTATTCATGATATAAAAATTAGTTTTTGTCTCAGTTTTGTCTTCGTTTATTTTTTTAAATTGCCAGTTAAAGTTTCATAAAATTCCTGTGTCAAAGAGTTGTTTGACACGTTTACCCTTCAATATACGGAAATTGATTGACAGCATTGTATTCCTATCCCAGATGGGGGTGGTTCTTAGTCTGTCTTAGATATGTTGTTTATAATATTATTTTTACATAAAAGGTTTATTTCAGGTGCAAACCAATATTCGCCTTCTCAAAACCTCAGACCGCGATTTTATTAGTGGTCTGAGTCCAAACCACTCAGGCTGAACAGCTTGACTTTGCATATACCTTGGATGGCAGATAATTCAGATTATGCAAATTACTGTATGGTTATGTCATCACGTACATGTCATAAAATTAGTATCGAAACTAAAAATACATTCACTGGTTTCAAATTATTAGTTAAGCTTGTCAGACTACATCTATCATCACATTGTTGACTAATGCTAAAACGGTTAATCGTAGAGACTTTGACACGAAATATCTGTCGCTGTTCTATGGGCCAAATAATTAATTGTCAAAACAAGTTTTTAGTGTGTTCAATTATGGAGGTATATACAGTTTATACCTCCATGGTTCTGTTGAAGCTGGCAATTTTTTTGAATATCATTTTCTGAACAAATTGGTGGCAATGAACAGAACAAGTTCACATATTACTGACTACAATTCGCTAATTAATTAGATACGTACATGATTGATACGTTGGTTTGTTGCAAAGGAATGATTGATAATCTCTCTTCTCAATACGAGAAAAAAGAGCCAGAGATGCCATGTCATTACACCTGTGGAGTAATGCCGAGACCAGGATTCGAACCTGGGTTATTGCGGCCACAACGCAATGTCCTAACCACTAGACGATCACGGCGAGCTAAATGCTCTGACTGCTTGCAGTCGGATAATAATGAGTATTCGAAGAATTTCTGATCCGAAACTTGCTCAGGGTATATTAATTATTTATACAGATACTTGGTGGAAATGAGGGTAATCTAATATTTGTGTTAACGTCATTTATAAATGAACACTACGCGACCGTAAAACCACATGCTTGGTTCAAAACCTTGAGGGCGCTAAAGGCAATATGGCGGAGCCCAGGATTTCACAGGTTGTATAAGACCCGGAAGTTTCTAGCCCAGAGTCCAGTTCTGTAGGTTGGTCTCCTACCGCTATTCGTTCGGCCCACAGTCCTGTGAAGTCGTATAGACCGGGGATTTGACACACAACTACACATTTATGGCGGAGAGCTTTTTTGCAGTTTTCATGATTGTAATCAGCCAAAAAGGTATATTGACCAGTGTAGCAATCATAAATACCTTTTGTGGCCGAAACATATACCTACAGTATTGGGATGTTGACGAAAACTAGTTTTATGCAACGAAACGACGTTTGTTTATAGATACGTGAAGAACAAGATGGCGGCGTATATTTTCTGTTGACGTTGGAAAATGTCGATTTGATCGACCCTAGTGGGGAATCTTCTGTAATTTCGCTTCCAGTTAAGGTATTTTGGATAGTTAGACGTACCGACCTGCTTATTTTTTTAGCTGCAAAGCTGAATGCCTCCTAAATCGCCCGATGCAGCCCTACACATAGTGTCGAATCCCCGTTCTTTACGACTTCAGTCTCAGGACTGTGGGGGCCGGATGGTCAGCAGTAGGAGGCCAACCTACAGGACTGTACTCAGGGCTTGGTACTAGTAGTTTTAAGCAAAGACAATCTCTTTCTAATGTCTTTGTTTTAAATCAAGGAGAGACAACATCCTGAAAGGAGTGCATGGTTAAATTGGAATATATAGTTCACAGAGCGTTTGTCAAGCTGTTGGCGGGGTCAATCACTATGTCAAGTGACATGGCATGTCAAGTAAAAGGCTTCTACCACATTATTTTTCATTCTCTTCGTCTGTTGTTGTTTTTTCAGTTTAAAAAATATGGGCTCGCTGGAGCCTTCATCCTTTGTCTATTTCTTACACAAGATATCAGCCGATACCCCCCCCTCCACCCGCCCATAGGAACTGCGTACAGTTGATTATAGTTTCTGTGCTCCCTGTGCTGCTACTTGTATAGTAGTAGTACACAGATGAAAACAATGGAGGGACTGTGGTAGAACGTGCGTAAATCACGGGTTTTGCCAGGATAGCTTCTACGAACAACACTGTTATAACCACGAAATACCTGTACTAAGTACATGAAATATGATACACTTCCCGAACGAGAATTCAAAATTGCGACACGAAGTGTCTGACCACAAAGAAAAATGAACAAAAAGCAGAAAAATAATCTGCATTTGGGGGCGCTATACACATTCGATCATGAGATCAATGCTTGTTGATCATTTTATCAACGGTATTTTTCATATGCATTGACAATATTCAATGTCAAAGTTAATGTGACATTTCGACTCTTTGCAATTGAACGCTGACTTACACATATTGGAGAATTGAATTAGAACTATCCTCGGGGGCGGAGCTACGTCACAGACGTTCCACGTTGCTAAGACGCGCACCACTGTACATGCATTTCTATGGGCTCTTTTCGCGCTGCTGTGGAACGCCGGTAGAGCCGGTGAAAATTCGAGAAAACAACACAAACTCAACTTTGAAGTAATCCTGAACAACCAAATTTAAATATGTTACACACGTAGGGCTAATCTTGTTATACTGTTCAGGGGAGTCTCAACCACCATCCCAAAGTACCGTTTTCTGAGAGTT